TCCCTGTGATCCCAGTGGCCGTCTGCGAGACAGCGAGACACCCGCTGCCTGGCTGGGAGTTTGTGTGTGTGTCCAGGCTGAGTTCCGCGGCGTCTCGCTGTCTCACCGACCCCACACCAGTGAGCCAGCTCACACTGTCCGCTCCTCGCAGCAGCGAGCCTCGCAACGTCCCGCCGAGTGTATCTGTGTGAGCAAGTCCGCGGATTGGTCCAAACATAACGGCTCCATCGACGTAACGTCACTATACCCGAAATACGTCACTATACCCAAAATACCCGAAATACGTCACTATACCCGAAATACGTCACTATACCCAAGAAGTAAACAATGGAAAAAAAGAAATCTCCAACGAGGCGTTCTGGGGCAGAATAGACAGGTCTTTTCTGTGTTAGAGTTTTACTCGCTACAGGGTGTACTTTGAGGGTTTGTGACTCTTCAGACCGTTTACATGCATAAAAAGCTACATAACACACAAGGGGACGGGTAATAACCAGAAAAGCATGACATGGAACCTTTAAGTCACTTCTAAGTAATGGATTGATTGTAAATATGTACCTGCATGATATAACTACACATATAATGAACAAAAAGTGGCAGAGATTGATAAAAGATGTGAAACTGTAATTTGACAAACTTTGTTTGTCACAGGTCATGGTATTCTTTTTCCATCCATACCTTCTCGCTCCCTCCTTTTACTCGGCAACATATTTCCTTACAGCAAAGGTTCCAGACAGGCTGCGCTTTATATGTGTGTGTATTTGTCTGCAAGCATAATGGAGGGTGTCTACTTGGTCTTAAGCGGGAGTGTGTATGTGTGCATTTATGTGTGTAATGGATCTGATTCATGGGCAGCAGTAAATGTGTGTAATAAAGCTGAGCAGGCGGTGTGATGGAAAACCCCAGGTGTGTGAGGCACAGCGGGGTCTTGGGAGACGCTGGCATTACAGAGTGTGTGTGTCTTTGTCCCTCGGAGGGAGATCAAAACAGTGGGTGAAAAAGGTGATGGGTGTATGAGATGTGTGTCAGAGTGTTTGAGGACTGTGTATGAAAATGAAACAGAGCTGGTGTTAGGTTAGGTGTGCTAGGCCTAAGTAAGGGTGTTGAATGTGTACAACTCAATTGACACATCTGTGTGTGTGTGTGTGTGTGTGTGTGTGTGTGTGTGTGTGTGTGTGTGTGTGTGTGTGTGTGTGTGTGTGTGTGTGTGTGTGTGTGTCATTGTCCCTAGTCCCAATAAATTCAATGCCAAGTTTAAGTTGGATTAAACTTGACTCTAATCCAATGGCAGCGCCTTTCTAAAAGGGGACGATACAAAACCAGCAGGTGGATCTGCAAGTAGACAACCATTACATACAAAATAGAAAAATATATAAGGAATCAAACCGGTTTTTGGAATAAATTGTTCTGGCAAGCAAACAACAGGCCAACAGAAACAGATAATAGAAGAAAGCTTTGAGTGATGCCATCCGAAACTATCTTATTGTTTATTTCTGGTGTCAAAACAAATCAGCCGTCATAATGACTTTCTTTGCTGAAGCAGTAAGGAAAGCTACAATTGTTATATTAGAGAAAAGAAGCTTCTACCATGTCTAGGAATTCATATTTGTAAACTGAATGTTGAACTAAACAGAATCAGAGATTGCCAACAAACATAATGTACTCGTTTCCTGGATATTTCAATGTATTCAAGCTAATCAAACATGTCATTGTTATGGAAGAAGCTCAGGCAAACATAGCCACTGCACAGACAAAACAGGAAAGACGGCATCAAAATGACTAAACAGTGAAATCATGTATCACTTCAGGCAGGTCAAAGCCAGGGGAAAAGGTCAAAGGTCTTACCTGGGTAGGTGGGATCTTGCAGCAAAATACAGGTGGCTCTCCTGCAGAAAAACACAGTATGTCAACAAAAAGTCTGATATGGATCAGTCCAATTAGTCTGCTGTTATTTATGATCTGTAATCAGCTGTAAGGCAATAGGGGGATGATGCCTTTAAACTTTGTAGTGAATTTCAATGAATATGTTAAAATATATTTCACTTTTATTAAAAATATCACTTTTATTTCAAATTAAAATGCTATGGATTTAATAATGGGTGTATTTGAATTTCTTCTACAACCTATTAAATGAAACATAAATATCACAGGTTTGCTTTGTCATTAGGATTTACTTTTGTTTTCTAGAGGCGGGAAGTGTACATAAGGTAGATAGTTAATATGAGGAAACCTAACTAAAATGTCCATCTTACCATTGATCCGGAATGTCTACCGTTTGCCATTCCTCAGCTGTGCAGTCCATCTTCACAGGATGCCATTAAACGTCTTGCATACAGTAGTTCAGATGTTTCACTCATGGCTTCAGTCGGGTGCTGGTGGTTCTTCAAGCATAGCACAACAATGGTTGGCCATGGTCCTGACTCTTTCTCTGTGAATGAGAAATATATATATTATCCTTTGTGTTAAGAGATACAAAACAGAAAATATGAGCAGTAACCAAGCCGCTTATTGATGCGGAAAAGTATTCAGACACTAACACCTACATGGCCATTTTAGTCATTAAAGCTTGTTCCCCAAATGCACTGGATTCGTTTTATGTAATTGAACAACAACATCTATTCAAAGACTACAGTCTGATTTCCATTCCTGCACCGTGAGAAAATTGGCAGCTGTTTACAAAGGTCACACACAGAGCAGTGATGGACTGCGCATGTGTCGCCATCTAGGGGTGAACACACACTCTTGCACTTTTCTGCAACAATGTGTACAGCTAACAACTTTGCCAGTTTGTAGACTAATGCTGACTGTTCATGTAGTGGTAGAAAATAAAATAACTACTGGAGACATTTCTTCAGTGTTGTTGGCATGTTATTATTCCTATCATGAACCACGCAGAGGCTGTTAATCTTCTTAAAAGCTTTGACAACTTGTTGAGTTCCCTCCTCAAATAAATATCTATCATACAGGAGGAAATATGTAAAGCAGCATGCAGGAATCACAAGGTATTTGAATACATTTAACAACTGAGGTATAGATAGGGGAAAAAATATGCTGTAAGTAGGCATGTATTCGACAATATACTAATTGTACATGAAATGTGCAAAACACAAACAAACAAAACAGATTCACAGCATGCCAGCAAACCAGTCAAGTGATGCTTAGTCAATGCTGTTTTATCATTTATTTTATATAGCTAAAAAGAGAAACACCGAGGAAGGAAAGGGCTGTTATCAACATAATGTAATGACAGAACACTATTTTGTATAGGAAAATGTCACTGTTACTTTGGATAAGAGATTTTAAGAAACAGTCAGTTTAGGATAACGCCTAGTAGGCTATGTAGTGGACTACAGTTTTAAATGGAGTAGTACAATTAGTGCCAAAAGAAAGTTTAAGAGTCCACGTTCTCGTTTTCATATTTAAAGTAAAATACAACTGTCCAATATTCGCTTAGACTGGAACTTGTGGGCCCCAGATTTCAAACATGCCTTTAAGTGATTTTAACCGGTAAACTAGCTAGTAAGTGTTGCAGTGGGATGTTTAGAGCAGAAATACACCGTGCTACCTGGGCAGAGGCATTGTTCAGTACATTAAAATGTTAACTACACAGTTGTGTTGCATTTAATGTAGAAAGCTACGGTACAATACAGTAATAATAAAGCATTTACCCCACAAAATATCACTCTTGTTTTGTCCTACTGGAGCTGGCTCGCCACTGCAATTAGTTGAATTTGTTGCAGCTGCGAGTAGCTCCTCGAGTTGCAATGCATTGTGGGACATCAACAACACCGTCAAAACATTGCATTTATTTTTTTATTTTGACATTTAATTATATTTTAATAATTCACTTTTTTAATGTATAGTCAGGAGGACATGGTGTTGATGAAACATAGCTGCTCCGTGGATAGTCAAAGACGCTCACTACTGTATAGCCTAATGTGATTTAGTAAAGTTTTGATATGGTATCTTTACTGACTAATTGTATTATATTTATCTAAAGACAGGACTGGACAGTCTTGGAGCAAGCTCATGACTTGTTAGTCTAACCAATTTAACAGTCCTGGGTCGCCATCCAGTGGCAAAATGTCGGAGGTGCTACAGGAACCGCCAAAAAAAAAGAGGGGTGGGGACAAATACAAATTCTAGGGAAGAAAATTCAAACACTCTTCCTGGAAATAGAAGAGAACCCGCCACAACTTGGCCACATGACATTTCGAGAGAAAATGCGACACGACCCTTCTTGCAACGCACGCGATAGTGCATTTCATTGAATAAGCCGCTGTTCTATTCCTCCTCCAACCAGCACGTTATCAGGCCACGCGCTGTATATCACACCCACGGACGCGATCCATTGCCTTTTTGTGCATTTAGAAATGTGTAACCGTCATCAACGCGAGGCGATTGCGACATCACCAACTCCAGACCTACCTTGTTCCCGTAAACTATTCCCTCTTTACCGTAAAAACGTGACATCACCATACATACAGTTATATATAACATTTGGGAAAGCAGACTAAACAGCTGTCTGCAACACAGATAGGAAACTTACCGCCTGTTCGTGCAAAGTTAGAGTATACAAATCACACAGTTTTTGGAATTATGTAATAGTCTGCCATCAAACCATCCTCTTAAAAATCACAGTATTTTGGCCTTCTGTTTTCATGACTGCTGTTACTGCTCTTAGTTTACCAGATAATGGCCTATAAGTGTCTCCTACAGTAATGCAAACTGTATTTTTACTGTTATGTTGATCGCCTCGTTTAAGTCATATTACAGGAGGAGGATAGTTCAAGTTGTTTTCAATGGAGTATCATTCGTTGCAATTAGATAACACATTCTCTGCAGCCTCACATGCCAGCATACGCCGGATAACAAGATGCGTTATGCTTACCTTGTATGTGTAATCCAAAATCTACTGGGGAGGTACCGTGCTGACTGTAGTGTAATAATGGAAAATCTGAAAATATCCATCTCCTTTCCCAGCCATGGATGACGCAGCCCCCTAAAAAGCCCTCTCCCAAAAAACATTAAATCCCCATTCAGCATCCATAACGCGTGTAGGTGCAAACGTCGACACGGGGAGCACTGTACACGCAAATAGATCACAGCCCCGGCTGAGGAAATGTTCAAGTGTTCGCAAGGCATGACTGATGGACTCATCACTGATCTTGCATCTCTGCACAGTCATATCGCCTTTCTGAAAGATTGCACAGCTCGTTTCCTCCTCTGAAGACCATCTGGTAAAGAATAAATCGCCAGCTCCTGTAACCTCCAAAGCAGCAACGGGCACGGATCCCTAATCATCCAAAAACACAACTGATATCCGTTTTCGATACAGGAATGGTCCACGGCGATTAGGGCAGGCAGTCCTGACAGAAATTGCGCAGTTTATATTCCTCTGAAACGGAGACTCTTTCCCTTCTGTCCCCGTTGAGAGGCTCTTTCCCTTCCTCCTCCTCCTCCCTCCTCTCTTTTTCTCTCTCTTCCCTCATGCAGGTTTCTTTTCGGTGGAAGAGTCTTGGACATTGCCTGCCCCGCCTCCATAGTCACTGGCAAACACACTGTACAACTCGCCCAAATTCCATAATTAACAACAATTCAATGGAGAACAACAAGACCCCAGTGTGTCCCTTTATAAGTGTTTAGTTCAAGAGTCAAACTCCCTGTTGGAGGTAAAGGGGCCAAGAGCCACTTGGGGAATCAAAAGTTTTTCTTTGGAGATGTCTGGTAATCTTGTCAGGTTTGTGGTCAATTCCCAAGAAAATGAAAACTAGGCCAAGAGCATGTTGGGAAATCAAATTAAAGCCCATGCCATTTAGCTCCACACAGATGGCTCCTCAGGGTGCCTGATGCGTTATAAAGGAGTCCCCAATAAACTGCAGATTGATTTAATTTCACTGGTAATGCATTCAAAAGCACTAACTGTAATCTGATTAGACATTTCCCATGCTTTTTCTCTAATGTGACAAAACAAGTTCAAACATGTCTAGAGAACCGTTTTCCAGGGTTCTTATTACATGGGAAATGTTGGATTCCCTCATCAAAGATATTCAATAAATGTCTACACTTTTTCAACATTTTAGAAGCTGCTGTTTTACAGTTTCTGAGTGGATAAGCAGATGGAAGAAGTTGACTTCCAATGCCTTTAAGAAACAAAAAGATTTGCTTCAAAATAACACATCATCTGAACACAGAGATGTTAGAAAAAGGAAAAACAATGCACAATGTTTAACTTTGAAAACTTTGGAAAGTCTATTCCTCTAATCCAATTAAATTGTCAGACAGGAAGGTTAATAACCAGCGCATAATAAATATATATCTAGGTTGTTTCCACATCATATTTACATTCAAGTTCATTTCAGCTGCTTTAATCAGCTTTCATCCATTAAACACACCTCCGAAGTCTGATATCTTTGTAACTAGCATGCTTGAGAATTAGCCAATTGAAATTTTTATTCAACATGTTGCTATGAGCCCCCCCTCCGGCTCCCACCCAACGAGAGACCACCAGTGTACACACAGAGACTTGGGTCTGATAAAGAGGCTCTTAAACCCAGAGGAAGTTCGTGTTTGGTCTTTCATGGGGACAATCCTTACGTCTGAATACAACCTTGAGCTCAGCCCCCCCTCTCTCTCTGGTCCCCCTCTCTCATTACTGGACCATTCTTCCCCCCGGCTCACTTTCTCCAGGGTCCTTCTCTTGTTTTTCTCCCCCTCTCTTTCAGGAGTTTGGGCTGAGTCCTTTTCCAGTGGGGAAGTCCGGGCCTTCTCTCTCACAACGCTGAGCGACTCCAAACGTCTTGTGGGAGGCTTCATTTAGGAATTCATTGTTGAAAAGGTTTCATTTTCCCTCCTAAGTCTTTCTCCTTTCCTCTGTCTTTGTTTCAGCTGGGGGGGGGGGGGGGGGGGGGGAAGCATTTGTAACATACAAAACATTCTGACCTCACCTTGTTAAATGCATCTTTTGCGTGTTGTTTACTGTGTGACAAATTTCTAATATCACAAAAGGACATTCTTTTTTGATTAGATGTAACATTTAAAATACTTTTGTTCATAAAAAGTTTCAAACCAGGGTCTGTCTGGTGAGTTAGCGCGAACAGGATACAGTATATTATCGGCTCATGAAAAGCATTGGCAATTCAGTGTTATTTCCAATGATGTAATTCAACTCATATTTGAACATATTATCTACAAGCCCAGACTGTCATCACGGCCACTTCCCCAAGCTAATTCAGGTTTACTAGAGAATTCAAGAGAACAGCAGGACAGTTAATGACAGACAGACCTGATCCAGATGTGCATAAGCAAGTTTCCAGTGACACACTCACTTACCAGAAGGAGACTAT